CACCTTTAGTCCTGATGTTTGGGTGAATTGGCTAATTTTTAAATATATTATAAATTGTGAATATATTTTAAATAGTGGGCTTCAAAATGATTATTGTTGCACTTTACCCATAAAAGAGTCTTAAAAAAATAGTGTTATGTTTAAAATGGTATGTTATGGCCTTTGGGGTAGAAAGTACAAAAGAAGTGTAGTCAATTGAAGTGCCAAGCACAAAGAAAGTGTCGTCAATTGACAGTGCGCCTAGTGAATTGCCGTTTGTGTTTTTTATTTTTTTAAAATAAATTTTATAATAAACAAAATATTCATTTAATTATTTTTCTAATATTTAAAACTTCGAAATCAATTAAAATTTTAATTTTTAAAATATTTTCTTATTTGACTTTATATGAAGTCCTAATATTTAAGACTATAAAATGGATGGTATATAAATAAACGAACAAAATTTCCAAAAAAATATCCGTATAATTTGAAGGATTTTTACATACCTATACACTATTGGAAACTTTATTACCTTCCCTATTCAAGTTTCAATTTAATTACCTCCTATATACTCCCTCTGTTCCAAATTATGTGAACCTATTTCCTTTTTGGTTCGTTCCAAAAAGAATGACCCTTTCTAAATTTGGTAAGAATTTAGTTTAAAGTTACAATTCTACCCTTAATGAGAATCTTTTATAACCACACAAATACTCTAGGCCCCTTTTCGACTTGTTTAGGACCACAAAATTCAAAAGTCTTTATTTTTCTTAAACTCCGTGACCACAAATTAGAACGGAGGAAGTACAAATTTACCAATTATACACAGTTTAGGAATTAAATGATTATCTCTTTATATTAGGAATCAATTATTTTTCATCTTTATTCTCTCTCCCTCATGCGCTCTCTCTCTCTCTCTCCCATGCGCTCTCTCTCTCTCTCTCTCTCTCTACGTCTCTCTATCTCTCAATTCCTAATTCTAGTGATGTAGAGCACAGGAAAAGAGAGCAGCAATTCCACCATTGACAGTCATTAAAAAGCTTTGAAGCTTTTAATTCGAATTTGGGTTTTCAAAAAATATTATTTGTTTGAATTGGGTGTTGTTGCAAATAATTGGGAACTCTCTTTACGTCTCTCTCTATATCTCCAAATCCCTAATTCCAATAATGTAAAGCAAAGGAAAAGAGAGCAGCAATTCCAGCATTGACAGCCATTAAAAAGCTTTGAAGCTTTGAATTCGAATTTGGATTTTCAAAAACCATTATTTGTTTTGATTGGGTGTTGATGGGAATATTGTTCGGAGTTTATATCTCAATTTTGAGGGCGTTTTGGTGAAGATTAGACTTGTTTTTGATTGAATTTCAGATTGAAACTCGAAGAAGAAGAAGAAGAAGAAGACGGCATGATATACATTATACTTACGAAATTGTAGTAAAGTTATGGTAAAACTGTTGGTATATTGTATTCTATTGTAGTAAAGTTGTAGAAAATTTGTATAAAAATTGTATTTAGCAACAACAACAACAACAACCCAGTAAAATTCCCCTAGTGTGGTTTGGGGAGGTAGTGTGTATGCAGACCTTACTCATACCCCGATGGAGTAGAGAGGTTGTTTCCGGAAAACCCTCGGCTCAAGAAAAAAAAATACAATAATGAGACAATATTAGTATCACCACAAAAATCGTAGGAAAAATAGGAACAATATGAAATCTAGAAGAAAGATGCAAAGCAAAAGCGAAAGCTAATCAAAAGATCCTGCATTGAAAAGCGAAATAGTAAGACACAACATTATCACTAACTATCTTAGACAAAAAACTCTACCAGACTAGTCTTACAAAGGTGCGAAGTAAGGCAAGACTCAACTACCTCCTAACCTACAACCCCAATACTCGACTTCCACATTTTCCTATCAAGTATCATGTCCTCAGAAATCCGAAGGCTCGCCATATCCTACCTGATCACCTCACCCTAATATTTTTTTGGTCGCCCTCTACCTCTTCTCGTGCCCTCCGCAACCAGCCGTTCACACCTCCCTACCGAAGCATCTGGGCTTCTCCTCTTAGCATGCCCGAACTATCTTAGCCTCGATTCTCGCATCTTGGAATGGTATGATATTGTAGTTGTATATAACTGGGGTAGAAATAATATGTGAAAGTTGTAGATAAATTGTATAATATATAATTAATTGTATGAAATTTATTTTTACTATGTATAAATCAAATACAAAATATACAAAAGACATATTGTATAAAATTTATATAAAAATTATATTTAAGTTGTATTATATTATAGTTGTACGTCGCCTCACCTCCTATTAATCAAACCAAATAATATCTGTTGGGTTCCTACCTCACCTCTTTTTTTTTTTCTTAATTCCACATTTCACACAGTTTTTGCTTTCCGACTACTTGACTTTTACTGGTGTTGATTTCGTTTTCTTGAGAGTTACTCGTTTGGAGTAAGACATTTTCGGACATCTGGCACCATTTAATTTCGCCGTCAATTCTCGACGAACTTTTCATCCAACGGCAATTGTATGTATCAGTATATCGTAAGAGAGAGAGAGGAATATGTGGAGCTTTTTTGGTTTGATCTAGGTCCATTGTTTCTCTGCTCTGTTGATTTATAATCTAGGGTAGTTTTGGTAAAAACTTATTCACATCGGATGTTTACATCAAATCAATAGATACATGACATGTGTCTTGCATTTAGATTTCAATTATTTAACCATGGTAAATTATATGCATTCTTATCTAATTAAATTAATTAACCATAGTGAGTTAATATAATTTGGTGTAAACACCCCGATGTGACTAAGTATTTACCGTTGATACTTTGCATTTTATTCCCTTTTTGGTAAATGTTCATTTGTTCATTTTGACATCAATTAACTTGGGTTCTGCGTAGTTCTCATCAATATTTGGGTGTACTTTATTTTTATTGATGTTATAAGCTGGGATTCGATTCAGCAAATGTGGTTTAAATTAGCAACTACATTTACTTGGGAACAACTAAAGGAATTACCCAGGTGAAGCATACCACACCCTATTTTGAGATTGATTGAGAATTTTCTGGATATTCTATTACAGGATTAGGCCCTGAGAACTCGAATCCAGAAATCGAATACTACAATTCATATCATCCATTTCAGTGTTTGGGAATTGCTTGTGAAAAGGGTGGAAGATCGGGAGAGAAAGGGGAAAGATGAGAAAAAAAGGGAAAAAAGTATAACTAAATCCACAAATAATGGATTAGTAGCCTTTTAAGGTGAATTATATATATTTGAAACTAAAATATGTTTAGGTAGGGTATATACCAAAACATAAACATTTTTCGTAATAAAGTTTCGAATAGTGTATAGGCATGAAAAAATTCTTAAAAAGCTCAACAAAAATACAAGAACAAAACAATAGAATAAGGCATTGCGCCACTCCTTAAACTTTTGTATTAAGAGCCCGTTTGGACATAAAAAAAAATTTCTTTTTTTCCAAAAATATTTTACTTCTTTTTAAATCAGCATTTATTCATAAAATTTTCAATTTTCACTTGAAGATGCACTTTGAAAATTTAAAAAATTTCAAAAAGTTGTTTTTCAAAATTATCACTCACAAAACTTCAAAAACAACCCAAACTGAAATTTATGTCCAAACACAACTAAATTTCAAATACCGTTTTTACTTGAATTTTTTTTTTACCATTTTTGGAATTTTACAACTCTTATGTCCAAACACCTACTAAAATAGCCGGAGTAGGGATTGGATATTAGTGGGTTCACTAATTTTACTTCTAGCTAGGGGTGTACATAAGTTGGGTTGGTTCGGATTTTTCAATTACCAAACCGAACCAATGGTGTTGGGTTTTTAAATCTATAAACCAAACCAAACCAACAAAGTCGGATTTTTCAATCTCGGGTTTCTCTATTTTTTTCGAGTTTTCGGGTAAAGTCTTTATAGCACAAAAATATATAACCTGTGATCCAAATATTTCTTTAATCCTATTAAGATACAACTAGATATTGTATTTTTCAAAAAACTAACACAATAATATGAGATAAGTCATAACATTATACTAAAATATTCAATAACAAAGATAATAAAATTGCATAAAGCAAATATTGTTAATTAATAAGCCATAATAAAAATTAACACAATCTGAATATAGTATATATGTCATGTTAAAATAAGTATAGCTAATAAGTACTATTAGTTACATAACTAAGCACTAAAGAAATAATAAACTAAGTTATGCATTCTCGTTATAAACCAATGTAAACTAAAAAATGGACATCCAACACTATCATCATTCCTAGTGTTGAATTGAGTTTCTTTTGTTAGCATTAATATTGATTTGAACTTTGTTTGAGTTACTACATTTATGGGCTATAAAATTTGTCATCATTCAAGAATGTTAAGTCCAAACTTGAAATAATACATTAAAAGATGAAATTGTAAAAAAGTTTAAAAAATATTTATAAATTACATTACAATAAATATTTATATGTATAAAATATTTTTAAAACTTGTATAAATGTACTATCGGGTTCGTTTGGTTTCGGTTTGACTTTCTTTAGTTAGAACCAGACCAAACCAATCATGGTCGGATTTTCTGTTCCAATACCAAACCAACCAAGTCAAGCCAAACCACAATGGAATTTTTTTTTTTCCGATTTGATTCGGATTATCGGTTTGGTGTGATATATCAATTTTTTTTGTACACCCCTAATGCTGGTCTAGTTCATAATTATAATGATCCTTCGGGTTTGACAACATATGTTTTCACCGTTCAATGTAACTAAAATGAAAGTTCACGAGGAAACAAAGCCAGGGGAATGTTCAAAACAAGACAAATTGCTAATTCCCTCTTAAAAATTGTTATGATCTTTCTTGAGTTTACTTAAAAGAAAAAATGTGCATTTTCTTTAGCAAGTGCAAAGATACTACAATTTCAGGGTGCGCATTATGGAATGATCAATTATTCAGGTTAAAGAAATAAAAACTAACCTTGGATACATAGTCAAACGTCACTCAAAAAAACTGTTAAACTGGATTTAGGCATGCTAAAAAATGTTTAAATACACAGGGTATTAAAACGAGGACAATAATAAATTAAACAACTGTCTACCAAATGAAAATCACAAAATTAAACAAGAAACAATCTCCCAAATGAAAATTACAAATACAATACTACAAATGATCCATCAGAATCTTGTCACTATATTTTCTTTTCGTTTTCTTTGCCACCAAAGGTTGGTCGGATCAAGTGCCGCTTTGTGAGAATATCTTGAGAAAGATCAGTTTCAGACTGCCACATCAAAACTGACAAACCACATCATCACATGTACGAAATCAACTACGCTTCCCAATCCGCAAAGCATCTGACTACTTCTCAAAATTGCATCTCTAAGACGAAATCCAACGTCTCTGCATCTTTTAGTTCACAGAAAAGTGTTTCGCAGATAACACTGAGGTCAGACCTGGGCTAGTGATATCCCCTTCCCCTTCCGCGGAAACCCCGTCCCCTGCCTCTACCTCTTGTACTTCTCCCTCCATATGACAGACCTTGAAAACCCCTGTCAACAAACTGGTTCGGCATGCTACCACCTCCCCGGCCCTTCTTTGGCGCAGAACTACTTGAACCATTAATTGCACCAGCAGGCCGTTTGACTCTGGTGATAAAGAAATAGACAAACTATGTAAGATGAGAAAGCATATGAAAGGATAACTAGTGAACGTCCTAAAAGAGCATAAACCGCTGTTACGAAGTCTTCCAAACGAAACTTTGAAGTAAACAACTAGCAATACAAGTCAGTAAATAACAAATAACAGGGGTAACCCAGAAAATCTATGTTTAAACAGTTAACATTCAAGACCAAAAAAGCATCTAGAGATGATAGACAAACAGTAAAGCAAGAAAACCTTTATTTTTGTACTTGTCTATTTCTTGGGTCATGTCTTTGTGCTCTCTATAAATAGAGCTGGAATAGTTTAGCATGACCAAAATCATGAACAAATGTAAAATGTTTTCAGATGACTGAACCGTGTATCCTATTGGATACCAAGAAACCAAGCAAAAGAAAACATAGAATTCCATAATAACAGGAGGTTTATTGTGGGGCTAGAAGCTAGCTTTTAAGACCATTGATAGATGTGCTGAAACTGGAAACCTATCTGAATGAAAGTGGGTTGAGCCACTAAGCATGGGCTGAAGGAAGAAAGCTTTCATATCTACATTGACCATTAACAATGGAACCTTTGGTTTGAGATGTATCACTATTCCTAAGAGACGTAGAAAAGAATAGCAATAAATTATCTATTGAATCCAAATCAATGTAATACTAAAGCAGGGATGGGATTTATATTCAACATCTCATTTCACTAATATGATATATTTCACCTATCAGCCAGTTGATTGTCCATGCAAAAATATTAATTATGATACCAGAAAAGTTATATAAACTAGTGTAACCGCATCATCTTTCTGAAGTTCAAACAAAAACATACCCAGTTGAACTTGCTGTTGATGGTGCTGTAGATTTCACAACTTCCTTCCATGAAAGGTTGATTTTTTTGTCCCCGATGAATGAAGGTGTTTTTGCATGTAGTGGCTGAATTATCAAAGATTATAATTGGTTCACTCGCATATGCAAATTTAAAATGTGTGTCTGTATCTTAAAATTCAGTTTGCTTACCTGAGCCATAGACAGTATATTATTGCAAGTCCTCAGCCCTGTAGTAGCATTCTGCTTTTGAGCCTTCTGCAGAACCAAAAAGATTTTACTGCTCAAATAGTGCACCATTAAGTAGCATTTTAAGAACAATCTGTTAAAACCTGGAGAATGCACTCACGAGTTTTTCCTTTTCTTCATCAGATTTAGCAGCAGCAAGTGCTTTACTGTGCTCCGCCATCCCCTGAGTCAATTTCTTAATGGCAGCCTTAGCAAGCTCTTCAAAACAATTTAACCTGAATCAAATACCAAGGAAGAGAAGTAAAATCAAGACTTACATGATTGCAAGCACAGTAAGACCCCGTTTGGCCAAGCTGCCAAAAACTGCTAATTTTCAAAAGTGCTTTCGGAAAAAGTACTTTTGGAGAATAGTAGTTTGTGTTTGGCCAATTCATTTTAGACGTGCATTGTGCAATATTTGATAAGAAAATTGTGTTTGGCCAATCTTTCTAACAAGTACTTTGACATACGTAAAGGACAATAAATGTTCAATTTACAATTAGTATTATTTGTACAAGAGAATTGAATTTATAAAACATAAAGTAAAAGTATATATTTAAAGATTTTAATCAATATAAAGTATAGTTATCCCAAGATATCATATTGGTAAATGGTATTACTTATTCTTTACATGACGATTCTAACATATTAATATACATCAACAACAACAACAACAACAACAACAACGACCCAGTATAATCCCACAAGTGGGGTCTGGGGAGGGTAATATGTACGCAGACCTTACCCCTACCCCGAAGGGTAGAGAGGCTGTTTCCAGGAGACCCTCGGCTCAAAAAAGCAACAGGAGCCGATATATTAGTACCATAAAAATGCATAATAAAATAACAGCAATATAAGAGATATGAAATACAGAATACGAAATACGAAATAGATGGCTGGTATAGTAAAACTAGCAGGTAAAGCCCTGCATCAATAGACGACCAATGACATTCTTAGTCTAACTCCTAACTGGCTAGTCTCACTCTATTGTGCTGTAGAAATATTCACAACTCTCCCCTAACCTACAACCTTAATGCTCGACCTCCATAATTCCCTGTCAAGGGCCATGTCCTCAGTAATCCTAAGTCGCGCCATGTCCTGTCTGATCACCTCTCCCCAATACTTCTTAGGTCGCCCTCTACCTCTCCGCGTGCCCACTACAGTCAGTCGCTCACACCTCCTCACCGGTGCATCAGTGCTCCTCCTCTGAATGTGCCCGAACCATCTGAGTCTTACTTCCCGCATCTTGTCCTCCATGGGGGCCACGCCCACCTTCTCTCGAATATCTTCATTCCTAATCTTATCCATCCTTGTATGCTCGCACATCCACCTCAACATCCTCATCTCTGCTACTTTCATCTTCTGGATGTGTGAGTCTTTACTGGCCAACATTCAGTTCCATATAACATGGCAGGCCTAACCACTGCTCTATAAAACTTACCTTTTAGTAACAGTGGAATAAATTAAAAATTTACTATATAAATCCTACATAAAAAAGAGATCTATTAATCATAGAGAAATTATTCCAAAGAAGAATACGAGAAGAATAAAAAATGATGGAAATAAGAAAAATGAAGAAATGGATGGTAGAAACAAAAAAGAAAAAGAAAAAATTTAAATTAATGAGGGATAATTTGAGATATGTAATTTTTTGGAAAGGATATTTTTCTCTTGAAAAAATTAATTTTCTGGTTCTGCTTCTGTTTCTTGGAAGAAGCTAGAATTTGTAGCTTACTTCCCAAAAGTAAAAAAAAAAAAAATTGCTTCTGCTAGTACTCAAAAGCACTTCTTTGTTTTGGCCAAACACCTTTAATTTCAAAAAAAGTACTTTTAGCCTCCTAGAAGCTTGGCTAAACAGGCTCTAAGCTACAACAACAACAACAAACCCAGTATAATCCCATAAGTGGGGTCTGGGGAGGGTAGTGTGTAAGCAGACCTTACCGCTACCTTGTGAAGGTAGAGAGGCCGTTTCCGATAGACCCTCGACTCAAAGAAAGCTTGCAAGTGAAGAAAGTTATAAGGATAAAAGTCTTCCAAGTTCCAACATATGAGTTTGACAAAGTCACTGACAGAATCCAATCAGTTCCCTGAACACCTAGAGCCAACCACATTTTGCAGCGCACTGAGGTTCCGATAGCTTGCTTAGGGAAAAGGTACACTTCACTAGTCTCATCGTTTCTTTGTGTTTTTGGATTATTTATTGGGAATGGTTTTTGTTACTTTCTTGATTGAGTTTATGATGTTATGGCAAAATTGTGATGTAGGATCAACGAAAAGGAAAAATAAAGAAAGCATACATAATGATTGATTTAGCATAGGAAACGACAGAAACCTCTAGGACGCCTCTCATCCACTCAACTCAACTCCCTCTCTATCCCCCTCTCACTCTCCCCTCAGCTTTTTCACCATCCATTCAGGTATGTTCTCCAGCTTCGCACACTCCTCTTTTCCTCCCAACCCTCAAGTGCTATTCTCCTTTTCCTAGGTCATTGCTAGTCTCATCTTCCTCTTCTTTTTCCTCCTCCATACTTGCTAAAACCATTATGAATAGAAAACATATGCTGAACCCATGCTTTTTGATGAAGTAAGAGATATCTAAAAAGCATCAAGAAGATGCAAAAGCGCACTGTCCAGGTGCTAATACAAAAGATGATATGTTAACTCTATACAGATGGTCCTATTTTAGGGTTAGGGAGCTGACAAAATCCAAAGATAAATTGGGCGAGCTAATAGGGGAGAGGTTACTCCGGCTACATAACAAAATTATACAATTAGTCTTCAAGGAGTAATTTGGAGTTGCTAAACCATCAAAACACCTTATATTCCTTTCTGCCCAAATAGCCCAAAAAATACTCCAGGAATCATTTTCCAGATTTTGCTGATGGATTTACCAACTTTCTTTAGACTCCCACTACAATAAGCATCTTTAATACTCGTTGGCATCACCCAGCTGAGTCCGAAAACTGAAAGGAACATGTTCCAGATATCTGTAGCAACTGGACAATGCAAAAATAGATGTCTGTTTGTTTCAAGATCCTACTGGCACATGTAGCATCTATTTAACTATGGGAATACTCCTTTTGCAGAGATTATCTTGAGTGAGGCACGCTTCCTTCAATGCAGTCCAGCTATGACATGTAACTTTGGGGGTTAATTTTGTTTACCAGATGAGCTTCCAAGGCCAATTGTCTACCGTTTCATTTTGGCTGATATTGTGTAGGTATCCTCCTGCTCTCATTGTGTATATCCCTTTATACTTGTTCCCCAGATGAGTTTATCCGGAAGCTGCTCATTGACCATGCATTTCTCCAATTGTTCCAGAAGGCTAAGTAATTCACCCAATTTCTTCTGAGGATTGGAAACCAAGAATTGCCTGCTCTATTCCGAGAGATAGTTGAATCAGGTCTGCTCACTATTTGATAGAGGTTTGGAAAGTCATTTTGCAGAGTTGAATCCCCTAGCCACCTGTCTTTCCAAAACTTAACATTAGCCCCGTCCAAAACTGAACCCATGCTTTATATCTCTTGCTAACGATGTGCTTCATAAAATTGTGCATTCTCTTTTTCCTAGGTCATTGCTAGTCTCATCTATTCATTTTTGCACCTTGCCCCTCCAATAACTATGAGCACTATCTGGAGCGCATGTCTTGACTACAACTCAAGAAAGCTAATGAAGCTCCATTGAGAAAGAAGGGGCACAATAGGATCAAGCTTTTTTCAGTAAGTTATTTCTTCTTACATTAATTGATAACTAACCAAATCACACTATGATCTACTGCAATTGAACCACTTTATCGATAGTTTGCAGTTTAACTATCAAAAGTCAAGATACATTCCAACATTACAACCGTTTAGTCCTGACAAAGTTTGTTTATAACTCTGTCCTAGCAACGACGCCGAGGGTCTTCCGGAAACAGCCTCTCTACTCCTTCGGGTTAGGGGTAAGGTCTGCGTACACACTACCCTCCCCAGACCCCACTAGTGGGATTTTACTGGGTTGTTGTTGTTGTTGTTGTCTTGGCAACAACATTCTTACTTTCGATGCAGTAACCAATGGTAACAAATTTGCTACTAGGCAAAAACAGTGTGCATTTGACTCGCTAACAAATAAAAATGTTTCAAGAATATTACCTGATATATATGCACTAAGCGCAGGATGATATATTCGAGAGCAAAAAATAAGAAGTTAGACTAGCAAACTACCTCTCTGTGAACTCTTTGTAATTCTCCGAGAAGTCTTCCCCAAGCCTGTCAGATGGTTGTCCAGTCACAATCTTGTAACCACATAAGCTATTGGTGGCATTTGGCGCCTATCCGACAACAAAGAAGTGGTGAGAACCCAACTTGCAGATACAGAATATGTATACAAGGGAAAGAGGACATACCTTGTGTGCTAAATGGTGAAAAGTATACAGCAAACACTCAACATAAGAAAAGTTCATCTCTTCTCCTGCTTTTCGACGAGGCATATATTTCTAAAAGAGCAAAAAAAGTTTGATAAGGAAAATGATTAATTGAAAAGGTTAATCTTTCACGAAGTAGTTCAAACTCAAAAGGTTTCACCTTGTTCATGGAATAATATAAGGTAGAGTTAAGGTGCTATATGCAGATGCAGGAAAAACTTTTAGAATGTATAGAAGTTTATCGGCCCTATGATTTTCTGCACGCATAAAGGTGCTTCTAACCAGAACTAATAGACTGGCATACAGGCGAGGAAAACTAAATACTTGCCTTTAAGAGTTGAACAACAGAGGGAAGGATCTGTCTCGAGTCTTGAGGAGTTGTGTAAGGTGCGCTCTCTGCAAGGTTTTTGAGCAGGTCTACCTTCCGTTCTTCAGGAAGCTGATAACAAAGATAGGTTAGAACAACTTTTGGAACTACCAAAAGAACAAATTAATATCCACAATGGAAAAGAAATTTAGAAAGATTATCTCTTTACATTCTTCTTTGACAAACTATCTCCTTGTTTGAAACAAAAAATAAATAAATAAATATGTTTTGAGCACCAAAATAAAACCAAATGTGACAGCTGCTATTTCATAGCAGATAAGGAAACTGAATCAACTATGCTACGGTATGAGGAAATCAGGTATTACCTTGTCAAATACTGGGAAAATATGCTTATTCAAATNGACAAAGATAGGTTAGAGCAACTTTTGGAACTACCAAAAGAACAAATTAATAGCAACAATGGAAAAGAAATTTAGAAAGATTGTCTCTTTACATTCTTCTTTGACAAACTATCTCCTTATTTGAAACAAAAAATAAATATGTTTTGAGCACCAAAATAAAACCAAATGTGACAGCTGCTATTTCATAGCAGGTAAGGAAACTGAATCAACTATGCTACGGTACGAGGAAATCAGGCATTACCTTGTCAAATACTGGGAAAATATGCTTATTCAAATAGTTTAGAAATTTGCTATTTGAGGCACCCCTCTGCATGAAATGTAGAAATCAGTTAGGCATGAAAAGTTGTAGTCGCTACTGAAAAAAATAATGAAGTATCCAGATAAGGACAAACCTCAAAAAATGGAATAGCCATAAACAAACAGACTATCAATCTAGCAATATGGTCTCCATCTGAAACCTGCAATATTAAAGCAATTCAGATGATGAATGTAGCAGGAATTCTTCAGCTGCACTGCAGATCAACAAGCCCACAGATGGTACTGAAGTTTACTCAGACTAGGAGTTCAGACTCAGGGAAAACAAGATGGAGAATATAGAACAGAAATCTAATTCTTTCAAGACGACATGTGATTTCCGTTGATACATGTGATGTACGAATTACGATGTACATCACATTTAGGATACTGACTTTAGCAATCCAGTAGTTTCAGAGGTTCCATCCTGTAGTGCTTTAAGCACTACATGCCAGGAAAGCAGATAGATAGAGAAATCTATATGCTTAAGATCAAAAGCTCACAATCATAATCAATATTGTCAAAAGCTCGCTTAAAGTGCACCTAGGCAAGACGGACTGAGCTCTTCGCCTGGCTTAATGGGCGCTTCAGCGCAATCACCATACATTTGTCTAATAACCGTGAGTGTTATCTTAAAGAGGCGATGCTAATCAGTTAATATTTTAATATTTTAAGTTCTTTTTCCATATAACTGTTATTGGTGCTTTAAATTATTATACTTTAATTATTGCACATGCACACACACATACATATACACTTTTTTCTTCTTTTCCACCTTTTTCATTAAAGCCCACGCTTTATTTGCGTTTTGCTCATAAAGCCCCAACAGACCACAGTGCATTTTAGCATTTGATAATACTGATTAAAATTAACATTGAAGCAATTCTCATGTATTTAGGTTTAGATCAGTTTTATTAATTAAAGTTTTCAATCAGATTGAGTTTAGCTCTAATACTTTTGGAAAATTTGAACTAGTTCGGTTGATTTGATGTGTGAATTCCGGGATGGGTCTTCTCCAATGTGTTGAATTTATAGTTTCATCCCAATAGCAGATTGTAAACATTTTCACCTTGGGGTGAAATTGCTAAAACAGAAACCAACTAAACGAAGTGTAAAGTTTTGAGCATCCAACTGTTGGTTCTAGAGATTCAAATAACCAATACTTTCAGTAACTAAGGCAAAAACATCAGTAGACTAAAACAACCAACCAACCACCCTAGTGAGAGCTTTTTGACTGAGAAGAACAGGAAACCAGAAATCTCTACAACATTCTAAATGGCCAACCGAACACTTACATTGAATTGTGCATCTAGATCAGCTTGGCCTGCAATGATCTCAATCAGTTCTTGCACACGCTCTGCAGGAGCTTTATCTCCAAATATGCTCAAACTTTTCAGAAAATCCATGAACATCTTAAATTCTGCTCCTGTCACATCTTGTAGACTCTGCAATGGGATGCAATTAATCTTCTTGCATTCTCACTGTTACCTTTCCCAAGAAAATTAATTTTCTTGCGTTCTAATCATCTAGAACATACGGCATTTATTATCTAGGCAATTTTCTTCACTGGTATCACAATAATCCCCGTATTCTAGGTGAGAACAATCACATTGCATGTAGTATTTCTCTACAAGATACCACAGGAACTGGCGGACGGTAGAAGAAGCAAAGCTTCTGAAGGGAAGCAAGTCAAAATTACTGAACAATCTCCTCATCACTCCCTATGGGACAGAAAGAACAGGAGTAGAATATGTAATTACCTTTTTAATCAGATCGGTAATGTGCCTTTCCATTTGTTCTGGAGGCTTGAGGAGCTCAGCTTTTAGAGGAAATACCTGCAACAAAGTCATGCAGCCAACTAGAATACATAGGACTTGCAAAATGGGCATTCTTCCACAGAAAAAATATTGACCTTATTACCTTGTCTTTTATAAAAACTAATGTCCTTTCACGGAGATTATCATCAGACATCTGCTCATCAACAGTCTCAATGTGTTTAAAAAGAGCTGTCAATGAAGCTACAGGAAAAGAACGGAAGTTAATTGCCTTAACAACAGAGCAGCAATTCTATCAGAAAATTTTACGCAGTTAAAGCATCAAGAAAAGAGAAGGAAAATGAATTAATAGAGCAGAAGGTAAAACGATACTGAGGGATTGAAAGTTTTCATAGCAAGCACAAGCTAGTTCTACTGCAGAGCATCCTCTCTTGCATTGCTTATCAGTTAACCTTGCTAACTCTTCAGGCATTATTCTCCCTTCTTAGCTGTGCCCCTGTCCTCCTCTGTTTCTCCCTCTACAGTCTACCCCATCAATGTGTCTCCAAAATCAACTACGAACCAGCAGGAGAGAATAATGACTATATGCTGCTCCAACCTCTCTTCAATCTCTGATTTCAGGTATGGATAATGGACTATGGGTTGAATACCATGCAAACTCATGAAGGAGAAGCATTTATGATATATANTCATAACCGGAATTATAGATATTAGCATTATAATCCTATTAGTTTTAGGTTACTACTCACACTACCTTCAAATTAAATGCAAAAGGACTTGTCGTTATTTTCGTGAGTGAAGTCTAACAATGAATTTGACTCATTCACTTATCCACGTGATAATGTTTACAATTTGGTTCCAGCAATAACAGAGGAACAAATTTTGAGTCCGAATATAGTTATAACTCTATATTTCTTAATTGGAAGAACTCATAGGGAAAGGACATAACTGTAATAACCTATTTTTTGGACTACAATTTCTATGCTAATTTTTAATATTTAAAATTAATAAAATTTTGTCTATTAAATTCTTATTAAAAATATGTATGAAGGTTTAATAAAATCAATTTCATAAGAATCCTCCGTATTGGCAATACATTACCACTACATAATCTCCAATACGAAGAAAAAATAAAAGTAAAATTAAATGGAATGCATAAAGAGTTAAAATTGAGAAGAAGAAAAAACACCCCCACTATAATATATTTTTATATTATATTTGAACTATTTTCCTACTCAAATAATATTTTTTAATTAATTTTTGTAATATTGAAAAATACAATTATTAAACAACAACTAAGAAAAAATTTAAGAATATAAATGTGTGAGAAAGAGAAAAAAAATGGTTGGTGATAGTCAATACCACTAATTATTCTACAAACATAAAGATCTAAAAGTGAAATGCCATATCAATCTTTTACTCTTTGAAAATAAAATTTATGGTGGATTAAATTATACTAAGATTAAATATTCAAAACAAAAGATGAACTAATATTAAGACCTGAATCAACATATAATAAATTATTTTTTATGTTAAAACCAAATAATTAAATCTTTGAATTAATTATTTAGCAAGAGAATCCAATTCATCATATGAGTAAAATTCTTATTCAAGTTAAAAAGAATCTTTGGGCACATAAATGTATTCCATAAAAAGAGCGTTACACGCAAAGTAAAAAGGTTAGTATATTAATAAGAATCAAAATGCTATACAAGTGTCTAAGGAAGCACAATCAAAGTTAAAATCTAAACAAGAACAAGTTTTCAAGACCATATTATAAAGAGTCGACTCTGGTATAACGTGATTATTCTTTATAGATGCCTCCGGCGGAATCGAAATAATATTTTTATGTCATGTATTACTTGAAAATATCATATCAAGAGGCATGACAGTGTTAATAGTAGCAAGTGGTGTAGCAACAACGATTTTATTGTGATACCAACCACTTTAGATTTGATATACCTCTTCAAACAACTTATATAACCATCACAAATATATCAAAGCAGAGCAATGGTGATAAATTTAAAAGGAAAGCAAAATTGATAATAAGGGATGAAAGACTTATGGGTAAGTGTCAAACGATCGAAATAATTAAGCGGAGTTCCAGAGATATATTGGATATTAATGAATCGTTTGATGAAAAATTAATGGTTTGGGAGGTGATTTCTGTCAAGTACTACCAGTAGTTCCAAAATCGACAAAAGCAGAGACTGTAAAAGCTAGCTTGTCAAAGTTATACTTCTGGCCTCAAACGAAAAAAATTCAACTGATAAGAAATATAAAGTAAGAATAGATCCAATATTCAGTGTCTTCTTGCTTCGTGTCGGAAACGAAGAAGAGCATTTAATAAAAGATGATTTGGTTCTTCCTAAACACTTGGTTACTAATCTCAATGGTAATAATAGTGCATTTAATAAGAGAAATATTTTTATCATTAGATTAAAATGCAATTTGTGCAAGTCACATAATAAAATTAAAAAAAAATATGTTAGCTAGCAGAAATGAATATGTTGATAAACTAAATAAAATGATGGTTGCAAAATGTTATAGTAAAAATAAAATATTTTTCAGTTTTTGACTTAGTAGAAAATGATACCAATAATTACTACCAAGAATAATACTTAAATACTTTAATACGAAATGACCTTAAACCATACATTTTTGTTGTCAAGTTTATAATAGACTAAGTTAAAATTGATCTTCTATTGTATATAGGTTAATTTGGAAGAAAAATATAACTGTCATGCTACTGAAAAACTTAGATAAGCCGAGTAGTCAATGTAATAGCACACAGATAATATATAGAAGTTTTGACAATAATGTCATACATGCAAAAATTATGATACTGGTTAGTGTGTTTCTAAGTATATTCTTATCCCTGAATTCAACTTTCGTCTTCCGAAACTAAGGAATATTGTTTTAAATTTGTGTGAAAATAATTTTTAGTATGTTTATGTTTTGCAAATATAATAAATAAAGTACAAAGACAAACATCCTAAATATTGGACTATATTTATCACAATATGTTTTCTTGCACGAATAACTGTATGTTGCACTTTCAAGAGGGATATCAAGATCGACAACAATATTTCTAGTTAAGGGAGAGCAACTAGCGCATTAGGAGGAAACATACACAAAAAAATATTGTCCACAAAGAAGTATCCGTTGAGATACCATCACATTAAATATTTTTAAACTATAATATGTAATTATCTAACTAACATGACAAAATTAATCATTTGTGTAAGTTTTGATAATGTACTTTTATTTTAAATTCATGTATTATGCTAATGTAATAATATTTTTCGGCATTTAGATAATTGTTGTATTATTATATATAAAAAAATTCTCATTAATAAAATTTCATTATTCCTTCGTATAAATAAATGTTTAAATCATCATGTGCCATTATTAACGTGCAACGCACGTTCATAGATACTAGTATATATATATATATATATATATATATATATATGCACCGGATCGCTTCCAATGTGCATTAGGAGATAAATTACAGGAACTCCAGTCCTGGCCTAGTTATCATTTTGATAGTAAACCTTAAACCACGGTCCTCCTCACAACTCTTTCCTGCCTATCCAAGCTTTAACGGGTTAACCGAGGACCACCGATTAAATTACCTTAACCAAGGTTTATTAACAAAACTAATAACTGTCTGGGCTATATAGTTCCAACCTTCAGCACCATCGGGGTGACTCAGTTGTAGCTTAATAGCAAAGCATGTTTTGTAGATGGCCTATGGATACTAAGTTTAACACTTTAAGTTTTTAGCCTATCATTTAGGCTAAACAGTAAAAAGAATAAGTATATAAATAAACAAATTAAAATTTAATACCTGAGACCGTCAGGTTTTTGGCCAAGTGACCTTTTTTGATTTTTTAATTTAGAAGATTACAGAGGGGTTCTTTACAATAGTAGAGAGAAGTTAGAGAGAAGGGAGAGCGTTGGCTAATGCCTGCCTCTCGAAAGAAATGAGAATCCTTACATAATGGATCTCTGTCAAAAACAAACAAAATTAAATAGTAAAATGGTCGACAAAATAATTACATTATGGCCGACAGGATAAAAAGAAAATTCTGTATTATTATAACCGGACAAACTACTTTATAAAAGTAGATTCTCTTCAATAATGGAGGGGTCCGTTACTTTATTAAAGTTGTCTTCATTTCCCCTATAATTTATCTTATGGGGCCTGCATGTCTTAACTTTTCCTTTGTTGTCTTTTTTCGCAGAAGATTCTTCTGCATTCTCCTTCAATTTTGCAAGGAATTCTTCAATTTCATCAATATTAATAGCCTGTTTGGCCAAGCTTCTTTTTAGTCAAAAGTGCTTTTTTTGTTTTGCCAAAAGCACTTTTAGCCAAAAATTGAGGTGTTTGGCCAAGCTTTTGGAAGGAAAAAAAATGCTTTTGAGGAGAAGCAGAAGCAGTTTTGGAGAAGCAGAAAAGAGTAGCTTCTCTCCAAAAGCACTTTTTTGAGAAGCACTTTTGAGAAAAATACACTTAGAAGCAATCTTTTAAAACTTGGCAAAACACTAAATGTTGTTCAGGAGTGCTTTTCAAACTAATTAGCCATACACAAACTGCTTCTCACCAAAAGTACTTTTAAGAAAAGCACTTCTCAAAATAAGCTGATTTTTGCAGCTTGGCCAAACGGGTTATAACATCTGTGCTTGGACTGCTTTGAGCTTCTCCTGCTACACAGGTTTCTTCATCGGAAGTATTACCGATTGAGGTCATCGATACATCATCGCCGATTTCTATTCCAAAATTCTTTGCCAAATCTCTCTTTATTTCTTCAAAATATGATGCAATAATTTCTCTTTTAGAGACCGCATCTTTCTTCATTTGAAGTCTTTTAGTAACAATTTCAAATGGACTTAATTTATCCACTGCAACATCTGTTATCTCTTGTTTGGCATAAACTTCAATTTTTTCCTGAATTAATTCTTCGCCGAATAATTTTCCTTGTTGGTTTGGTTGGAGTAATTTACTCCAAAACTTATTATAAAAAATTCTGTGAAGACAGGGAATCCCCTCGTCGGTAGAACCAACTTGTACATCCCATTTCATTATCCAAGGAATTGAGAATTCTATGAAAAAATACATGGCTGCAATGCCATCATAAAAGATATTATCTTTTTGTAACGAAATGATTTTGGAAGATATATCCACCCATTGAGTATATAAATTCTTAAATACTGGAGGAAGGATATCTAATGATGAC